CTTCTTCGGGAAGGCGAGGGCAAGACGGAGTGATCCACTCGCATCCCCTCTTCCGTGTGGAGTAGAACAGCAGCTTTTAGGAATCCGCGTGAATTTAAGAGGGGTTGCATTTCATTCCGCGTACATTTCCAAAAGGGTTTCTTGTGGGCATTTGGCCTTTCATACTCTACAAAACTCGTACTTCTCCTACACCTGCCTTGTGATTGGCCAAACCTAGGGGCCCATGATGGGCCCGATTTCCGCCGTGGCTAAACCGGTCCGATTTCATCCGGCTCAACTTCAATGACCCAAAGTCGATGCGTGATGGGCCCAATTGTACACTGTTTTGCTCTACGCCCTTGATAATTGATCCAGCCGGTGGACCGATTAAACCGGGTCCAGAATAGACCGCGACGTAGCGAGGGAGCATTTTGGTACTTGAACAGGTCTGCTTTTTTCCAGATACCGTGGACGGCTGATGTTGCCCGACGTGACCCGCACTCGAGCCGGGCCGCGAGTCGCGCAGTGACGATCGGACGGTCGAGGCGATTGACTGCAGCAATCGGACCGCATCGCTCTCGCCGTGATTCCCGCCATGCATTTCGAAGACGGTATCGAGGGAATAAATTAACGCAGTAAATGCGTGAAACACCGCAATAGCAGCTCTTAATTGGATTGGCAGTCAAAACCACAACGGTAATTATTGCGTTGAAACTTCCAAGAGTGGAGTCAAATCTCACCCCCAAATATAATTAATTGCCTCTGCTGCCCGTGAGTGGCAGCCGGTAAGGAAGGGCGAGGTGGAGTTTGGGGTTTAATTATGTGACAAGTACGAACACATCATATAAATGCGTGGATTATGTAGAATAATGGTGAGTGGGTTAGAAAAGGGGGATTGGTTTGGGAGGGCGTCGGCGCCTGGATGTACGGGTAGCAATCAATCATATGACTTGATGGATGTGATGGATGGACTTGACGTTTGGGTAGGGATGGGAGCATGCAACGTGGAGGAGGGGAGGCCGAAAGAGATGGTTTGGGAAGGGAGATTTATGGCGTCTCGATGGGTCCTTTTCGCGTTCAATTTGGGCGGATGGGGGGGAATCGGGAATCGGCACCGATTTAAACATGCTGACGTGTTGGCGGTCCAATTCGAAGCAATGATGACATGTTGGGTTAGGCCGACTCGTTCCTTGTAGCTCGGTAGCTACACTCGCCGACAATTCCATCTCAAGCATAATGGATGACCTATTTATACATATCGTACCCGTCAATCATCGTTGCAACCCCACGTTACAAAGATAATAATAACAATAATAATGATATTAATAATTGCTTTTTGTGATGGTTCTCCCATCCACGTGCAGAGACGGAGGATGACCGGTTCACTCTTTCAAATGAGAAAGTGGAGTGCGATTGAATTACAAATCCCTTTCTCACTGAGCAATCGAGAAGAATCAGTCAGCCAGCAAAACAATCCACTGAAGCTTCTTCCCCTGTACAAATTTGATGGACTATCCAATCTTTAAGAAAAAGAGAGAGAGAGATGGTTCTGTAAGCAAACGCATGTGCAAAGTTCTGGATGGTTCTCATGGTCAAAGCATATGTTCCGTGATGCCTCTTCGTGCTGCACACACATGGAAATCAGGTATCGTGCAAGCCATCCGAGAGAATCTCATAAAATAGCCAAAAGAAACGCCTACGGGAATTTCCTACCCATATGCGTTGATATTATAGAAAAGGACTGATCGAATCCATGCATCACAATCTCTCCCGCTTTTAATTCCTAATGTTACATCACAATTCACCGCTCGACCAAACGGTAGTAGGATTTCTCATTTCGGCGCCTAACAACTCTAACGTGTCACGCACATCTGCCAGTCCATCGGGAGATTGGCTCCCTGACACAAACACTGCAAGCATGTCCCTCGTTTGAATCCAGCTACAACCAGGAGACTTCTTCACCCCTCGCTCGATCATAGCCCGCCTCACCTTCTCTGCTTCTTTCCATTGCCCATCGACACAGTACAAGTTGGACAGCATCACGTAGCCTGCCTCCTTCTGAGGCGCCAGATCGATCAAATCCTTCCCCGCATTCCTCCCGATGCTAACATCTCCTCTAGCTGCGCATGCACTAAGCAGAGCCTCGGATGAGCTTGCGATCCCGACGTCAACAGCCTTCGAGCAGCTCTCGAGCAGCGCAGTAGCCTCTTTTAGCCATCCAGCTCTCCCGACCATGTCGACGACGCAGGTCACGTGTTCTGCATCTGGTAGCAGTCCGTGGACCGACTCCATCATCTCGAAGACGGCTCTTCCCTGCTCGACGAGGCCCGAGTGGCTGCATGCCATCAGCAAACCCATGAAGGTAACCTTGTCAGGTCTAACATCATGTGCCGACATTTTGTCGAACACTTGGAAAGCCCTCGAAGGCCACCCATGCAATGCATAACCCAACAACATGGCGTTCCACGATACCAAATCCTTCTCGCGGATGCCGTCGAACACTTTGCTCGAGCTATCGATGTCGCCGCATTTAGCGTACATGTTCACTAGGCCATTGGCCACATAAAGGTACTCATCAAAGCCGCTTCGGATAGCACAGCAATGGACCATCCTTCCATTCCCCAGAACTGCCATGACAGCACAAGCGTGCAGCGCAGCTCCGTAAGTGAAATCGTCGGGCCCAAGTGAGTTCCTCGCCATGTCCACGAAGAAGGCAAGAGCCTCCTCACCGTATCCCCTCCTCGCGAACCCTGCGATCATTGTCGTCCACGAGACAATGTTGGTCTCGGGTGCCCTTCGGAACAACGAAAGAGCCCCTTGCACGTCGCCAATCTTGATGCTAGCGTCGATCATTGCGTTCCACGAGATCACAGTTGGAGAAACCATGCATTCGAAGATCTTCAATGCATCCTCGTGAAAGCCGAAATTTGCATACAAGCTCAGCATCGAATTATTGACTTCGGTGGCATCGTTCCATCCTCGTCGGACTGTGACAGCATGAACCATACAGCCAAACCGCGGACTCGCCATCTCAGAGCATGCGTTGATGAGGCTCGCGAATGTCGTCGCGTCGCCCTCGGATCCACGCATCTGCATCTCCCTAAAGAGCTGGAGACACGACTCGCTTTCGCGCAGCTGAGCATATCCCACCATCAGTACATTCCACGCGACGGTCGTCTTAAGCGGCATGGCGACGAACAACTCGTGCGCATCTTTTCCTTGCCCGGAGTTGACGTAGGCATGAAGGAACGAGCACCAGGAGACCTCGTTCCGCTCCTCCATTCCCTCGAAGACCCGCGCAGCGTCCGCCGGGCGCGAGCACTTGCCGTACATGTCGATGAGTGAATTGGAGACGGGCAGGGAGGAGAGAAGGCCGACGCGGAACAGGAGGGCATGGAGCTTCCTACCGCAGCGAAGATCGCGGAGCTCGGCAGCGGCGGCGACGACCGCGGTGAAGGAGAAGGGGTCGGGTGGCGGACCACAGGATCGCATGTGGGAGAAGAGGGTAAGCGTCTGGAGGGGGCGGCTCGAGTGGAAGTAGGCGGTGAGCATCGCGTTCCACGCGACCGTGTCCCTCTCGAGCATATCGTCGAACAGCTTGCGAGCGGCCGAGATCCGCCCGGATCGCGCGAGACGGACCAGCCATGACGTGGTGGAGATGAGATACCACCGCTCCGTCGAGACATTCCGGCCCATTCAACACTTGGTCAGGCATGTCTGCGTCGACTACCGAGCGATACCAGCGAGCGCTTCTGGCCGTCAACGATGGCCTTCGCGATTATATAGCGCACAAACACCATTGCGCATGTACACAACATGAGCGGTCGTTTCATATTTAACGATGTAGAAGGTGGTCACGGGCCAAAGGGCCTAATCTTGTAGCCCATTTCGAATCTATAGGCTGATCTTTGGCACGGCGCACCAGTAATCTATCAAGATTTAAGATTATTTGATAAATTACTCATTATTAACTTTTTTATCGAATGATATCATTTTTATTTCATAAATATAAATATAAAATTTAATTTAAAAAAATAAATTGATTTAGTGATTTTATAATTCTTTTATTTTATTTAGTCAAATTTGACTTAGTTAGAATAAGTTACACATGATAACAAAATATATTCGATTTTTATATTTTAATAATTAAATATTATAAAATTATTCAAAAAATATATATATTATTAATCATTTTATAAACATAGCAAGACAGATAAGTGAAAGTTTAAGTTAGTTTGGTTGAAGTTGCCACATTTACACTCAGAATTGAATTAAATCATAAAATATATCCAAAATATTTTCTACTTCCATAATTAAATATCATAAAATCTTAAAATATAAAAGTTAATATTAATCGTTTTATAATTATGACTATGTAATTTTGTGAAAGTTTGAGTTTGTTTAGTTGAAGAGGACTCAGTCACACTCAAACTTACATTAAATTATATTTAAAATTAAATTAAATTATACTGAATTTATTTTTAAATTAGTAATATTTTTTTAGATAATTTTAGGATATTTATTAACAAATATTTCAAATTTTATTGGAATATGATTCTAACCATAATTGTCTTAAATTTTTTTATGATGAATTCAAGATATTTTTTTAAAACAAATATTTTAATGTATTTTTTGAAGAATATAAATTAAGATAAGGACGTTGTTACAAAGAAATAATGAGCAATGATGCATGTATAATCAATCATACATAATCTTTGTGATCATAAAAATTACCAAATATATTATTTAAAGATTACCAAATATATTGTTAAAAATATATATAAAAAAAGGTCAGTCTTCCAATGTGAGACAGGAAATGACCAAAGATACACACCGCCCAAAGAAACAAATCGCTCGTTCTGGAAACTCACAGCGAATGCTATCCCGATCGCTCTCAAAGGATACCTGGACGGTTGGGATGCAGGAGAAAAGGAACCGATCCGTGTGCGTCCTCTCTGCACCAATTGCAGCCTTCGATCGCCTCCTCCCCTGCCCTTTTGCCCGACTATAAGATGCCACTTCCGAACCCCGTCGCTCTTCGCCGGATTAGATTAGAACCCAGGTGTGTGAAAGGTGGTGCGGCGTAAGCGTCGGTAGCCATGTCCGCTGAGGAAGGAGCTGAGGTCGTCGTCGCCGCAGCAGCAGCCCCCGCCGTCGAGGAGGAGCCAGTGGCGGAGGCCCCCGTCGACTCCAAGCCCGTCGAGGAGAAGCCAGGAAAGGAGAAGAGGGTGAGGGCCCCGAAAGCCCCCAAGGAGAAGAAGCCTAAGGGTTCAAAGCCTTCCACACCGTCTCACCCGCCTTATTTCGAGGTTAAAACCCTCACCTTTCTTCCTTTAATCTATTTAGCGTTTCCTGTGTACGAAATTAGATTCTGATTATATTCTGCTGGTAATTAGATGATCAAGGAGGCCATATTAGCCCTGAACGAGAAGACTGGATCGAGTGCTTACGCTATTGCCAAGTTCATGGAGGAGAAGCACAAGGGAGTGCTGACGCCGAACTACAAGAAGGTCTTGGCTGTCCAATTAAGGAATTTTACAGCAAAGGGGAAGCTTGTAAAGGTGAAGGCTTCCTTCAAGCTAGCGGAAGTCGGAAAGAAGGATGAGAAGAAGAAACAGAAGAAGGACGAGAGGAAGCCTGTGAAGGAGACGAAGAAGCTGAACGAAGCTGCAAGGAGGACAAGGGCTTCTGCTGATGCCACAAATAAAGCCACGAAACCTTCTTCCAAGGGGAAGAGAACCGGGGTCAAGAAGGCGAAGATGGCCGCTGCTCCGAAACCGAAGCAGCCCAAGTCCATCAGATCCCCGGCTTCCAAGAAAGCGAGGAAGGCCACCGCTTGATGATCCTGTAGATAGATAGTTGATAGGGCTCGGTTGCTGTTACCTTTGTTCATAGTTTGGGTCGCCGCTTAGTCGACAGAGTTGATGGTGGTGTGTCAACTTCACCCTCTTGTAATGCAATCTTCGTTTCGTCTTGTATGGTTAATCATGCTGCAATGTTATGGCAAGTTGAGTTTATGCTAAACTCTGTAGCTATACTTGCTTCGATTTTTTGAATGTGAGGTACTGTCTTCAAGAATTGGATATATGAACGTGGAAGACGATGATATCATGCTTAGATGGCTGATCGGTGGTGTTGGTTTCCTGTGGGTTGGATTGGTGGGCCATGATGTGACGGGTGGAGCCCACGGCCTTGCTTTCCTCAAATCACTCGTCTCAAAACCAATTGGGCTTTGTTGCCGCTTCGATTTCGCCGTATTCTGATCTTTGAATCCGCATCGATGCACTTCACCACAGCCCCCACGCGATCCTTCCCTCTCTCCCTCCCTCACTACCGCCGACCCCGCGACGCCGTTCTCGCCTTCGCTGCCAAGCTCCCCGAGCGGCGCGCCGTCAGGTCGCAGGTCGGTGTAGGGGCATCGGAGGCGGCTGCTGCCTCGGCGAGGCTCGCCGCTCTCCGATCGGGCCACGTTCCAGAGGACCGAGATCCTCCTCCCGCTCCGAACATCGCGGACGAGGGAACCTACGGTGGGGCTTCCGGGGCGCTGAGGGGGTCGGACGTGCTGCAGGCGCTCCAAAAAGCCGTCGCGAAGAGAGAGGCGCGGAAGCTGGGTGATAAGAAGAAAAGGAGGAAGAGGGCGGCGACCGACGGCAGAGGAGAAGCCTTCGGCTTCGACCACGGCCAACAAGTCCGGCCGGTAGAGATTAGGAGCGACTGGGGCCAACGAATCGATGAGTTGGAGAGGCGAGTCCAAGAGCTGCGATCGCAGTACCACTAAGCCGTGCTGTGTATCGCTTTCTCTTCCTCTTATGCGGTTTGGATGGTTACATTTCCATTACTTCTAAGTTTGCAAAGTGGAAACAAATCTTCTACGTTTTATTCAGTCTCATATGCTAAAATAGATGCAAGAATGGTTTGAACGGATTGGGAGGAAGATCTTCCCACTAATTTCAATCTTAAATGCTACCTGAGTAGGTTTATGATGAATGTTAATTTCATTATATTATTATTTTCTCTTTACCATTTGCAATCGAATTAGGCTGACTTGAATCCTGTGAACATCAATCTCAGTGTCATCTGACTTGAATCCTTTGGAAACCCAATGCCTAAGATAGGCTGAACATGATACAGAAATAAACAATTTACGAGTTTCTCTGCAGAGGTGACATACAATCTTGCAATCCCCTTTCTAATGTTTCATAATTGTTGCTTGTTACTGTATGTCATGCCAATTAAGTCCTGACTATTTTCACTTTGTGGCTGCAATAGCTCTCCCTATCCGGAATATTCCATAAATGATTGGTTAGGAACATGCCCATGTTGTCCCTTCCCTGGCCTCACATCAAATACCGGCAGTAATCTCACCTCGTAGCAGCTAGACTTTGGTCCATGTCCCAAACTCATCCTACTTTTCTATGGTGGAAATTCCTTCACAAATCTGTACCTCATGGCTTTTTTGTTTCATGGAACATCTGGAGAAACACTTGCAGTTGAGCCTCTGTACTCATCTGCATCAGATTTGCAAGGATCCACCTAGGTGCATACTCACAGAGAGTCTCACAAGATAATAGGCTATGGAACTGTTGTGTATGCCCACTGCCAAGCTTCCTGTCACAAAATGGCGTGGTGGACGCAGTTATTCTATTCGTTGTGCAGGGATAGCCGAGCCAGCAGGTGTTCCGGCACCAATGGGACAGAAGACACAGTATAAAGATGGGCTCTTTGAGAAATTATTCATGTCTCTCTTTGCTCGGAAGATGGAGAAGTTCGCGACCAGTGAAGTGTCAAAGAAAAACAATGCTCTCTGGGATATGGACTACGAAAGATTTGTGGATGTCTCAAAGAGGGTGATGATAGGAAGATCCAGAAAACAGCAGCAGGAGGTGGTGAGGGAGGTTCTCCTATCCATGTTGCCCCCTGGTGCTCCAGCTCAGGTGCCAACGATGATTTTGATTGACAAAAGCTTAGAGTTTAGTTGTTCCACTGGCACCCCGCCTTCTTTGCATAGATTGCTAATTAAGTTTAGGATAGGAAATGTTATTCTAGTAGTTTTAGCAGAAAATACGGATAGTTGCTTTCTCCTAAGCTCGCTTTTAATACATGAACTATTTTCGGAGAGAGAGTGCTAGAGAATTAGTACTCGTTCTGTTGGAATGGTGAACAGTACTTATTGGTTTATTTGACTGATTGCAGTTCAGAAAATTGTTTCCTCCAACAAGATGGGCAGCTGAATTTAATGCTGCTTTGACAGTGCCATTCTTTCACTGGTTAGTTGGACCATCCGAGGTACTTATGATTTCTTGTTAAAAATTTAGATATGGAATATGTTATGTTTCTTGCAAACATTTTCTTGGAGGTTCAATAGTCAATATAATTGCCTCTTGTTTTTGAAATTTTTTTTGATATAAGTGAGATCCTTAACAACCACCATGTGAAATCAGCATTAATAGTTTGTTCGAATTCATGCATCTGGGACTGAATATGCTACTAGAATTATGACTACTGCTCTGGGTAACATAATAACTTTGTTACATCTGCCTCTACTGTGGTCTGAAAACCCTCACTTATGACGAGCTATCTTGATTACCATTTTCCAAGTGTATGAAGTTGAATGTCTGATGGTATTAGAAATATTTACATGAGCAGAGTTAAATTCTTATTGCAGTTGTGCATATGTGCTAGTAGTTTTACTGAGCGCTCAGTATTTTCGTCAGGTTATTGAAGTGGAAGTCAACGGTGTGAAACAAAGAAGCGGAGTACAAATAAAGAAGTGCAGGTGTGCTTCTCTCAGCTGAAACATAATTTCTCTATTGGATTTTATTAGTGTTTGTTCATTCCAATCTTTAGAGACCATATGATAGACATAGCTATGAGAACTCAGAACATGCGATCTACTCGTACCGATAAGTTAAATAAGACATTTTTTAGTTGTCATTTATGCTTCTGTGTAGGTACTTGGAGAACAGTGGATGCGTTGGGATGTGCGTGAACATGTGCAAGTTGCCAACTCAAGATTTTTTTACAAACGAATTTGGGCTTCCCTTAACTATGAATCCAAGTATGCAAAGCTTCTCCACATATTTCGTTAGTTGCATACGGCCTGTCTTTCCATTTGCTGGTTTCTGTTCCCGATGATCTTCGTGAAACAGCCTATATCATTATATACAGAAATCATCAACCATATATGAACTACAGTTTAACATTTCACTTGATTAGGGTACTTATTATTTGTTAAAGTTCCTGTTGCCACAGTTTCTTAAGCTCTATCCTTGCTTAGTTGTTCGATGAAATGGTTGAACGTAATAAGTGTCTACGAACTCTGGGTGACATTGTTATTGTCTTGGTGAATCGATTGGCAGCATCATGACGAATGGACCTCTTCTTGTCTTCATTATGCCCTATCAGTAATTTATTTTTTTGATTGCTGCTGGTCATTTTTGCAATTTTTGGTAATTAGCAGCGGTTAACTTAAGTGGCAATGTTCTACTTGTGACGTTTCTGCAGATTTCGAGGATATGAGCTGTGAAATGGTGTATGGTCAGGTTCCTCCTCTCTTTGAAGAAGATGCTGTTTCAAAGCAGCCTTGCTACGCTGATATGTGTACGTCAAATACATCATCACACCAAATGAAAACACTTGAATTCAGCATTCTGAACATGAGGCATTTTTGCAGGTTCTGTGGCCAACACCAGCTCTCCAGTCTGTCCTAAACTACAATGAAGAACATAAAAGCCTAAATAGGTCAGCTTTTCGTTATCAACCTTTCAAGTTCATTCAGTTTGTTCTGCATATGTTATAATCTTCAAATATCTGTTTTCATACCTCGCGCTCGGATGTTCTTCCGTAGATGACGGGATGGAAAAGCAAGCGAAACTTACTATTCAGAAGATATGGAAATCTGTTGCACAAAAACACATTTTCCAAGTTAGGCCATGTTATCAAAGATGACGAGATGAGATAGCATATACTTTGTGTATATGTTCTTATTAGTTATTAGGATCTTCCTAATTGATACAAAATATGTACAAGAATTCTGGCCATAGAGACCAGTCACAGGTCCATAACAATGTTCGTGTAACCCAATTTGTAGTGCTACCGTGCCACAAAGAACAATTTGGAAGTGACTTGCTTTTGAGTTGTATGAAAACATGTCTTTAGACATCTTAAATAAAACAAACATGTCGTTTGAGAGATTGTATCGATCTATATTACAAGTTCAAGTATTTTGAATCATACGCATTTTGAATAAGATATGTCAAAGTCGTAATTTAGTCATCTGGACTCTTAATGGGATTGAATATACGTCAATCTTAACTCCTTTTACTTCGAATCATTTATAGCCCTACATGTGGGTGGTGATTGATGTCAACGTTCTCACTGCAATCGATGAGCCGAAGCTTAAATCAAAAGGTAAGTCAACATGTCAACCAAAGATAATATTATCATTATTTATGGTATTCGATTCTACCGATCAAGTAAAACTCAATCAAATAGTCAAAAAATATCCAAACAATTCCGTGGATTCCTCCTCGGGAGTACAAAACGAGGGTCGGTCAAAGCCCACGAAGCAACCACTCGGCCTTCCACCGACACAGCGCCCGTTTGGTAATTTGGATTGATCGCTCGCAGCGTTCCCCGACGGATTCGATTCATTAACGTTGCAACCGCACCTTCCTTGATAAAGCCAAGCATCGCCGTCGAATAACGCCTTCCCAACGTGTGAGAGGCGTTCTTCGGATCTCTCTCCTCTCCGCTCCGCTCCTTTCCCTTCTTCCTCTTCGCCTATACCGAGACCTCCATCGGCGACCAGGTGGCGAGGAGAAGAAATTGAGATCTAGGAATCGAGAGAGGAGGTGAGAATGGCGATGGAGGCGAAAGCATTGGTGTTGGCGATGATGATCATGTTGTCATGGATTTGGGCGGTGAGGGCTGAGATCCGGGAGATGGAGGTGTGGTCGGACGCGCGGTCCATCATCCCTTTCGACGAGTTCGGGTTTACCCGGTGGGGCGGCCTGGAGCTCAATGTCACCGGCATCGCCTTCTCTTCCGCATTGGAATCGACGGCGGCGGCCGCGGGCGACATGGACTTGTCGCAGCTTGGATTCTTCCTCTGCACCCGGGACGCCTGGCTGCACGTTCTCCGCCAGTTGCAGGACCTCGACATCACCTGCGCCCTCCAGTCCGACCTCGTCCGCGTCGTTTATTCCTTCGATCGCCTCCTCCCGCCGCCCAACCCCTCCGGCGTCGCCGTCGCCCGTGCCTCCACATTCCGCCTCGCCCTTAACCTCACCGACAGCCCCGGCCAGTTCACCCTTGTCTTCGCCAACTGCCTCCCCCAGCTCCGCGTCTCCATGTCCGTCCGCTCCGCCATGTTCAACCGCCCCGACCCCTTCGATCCCTCCCGTCGCGCCTATCTCTCCGCCGGCGCCGCCGCCCTGCCCCTCGTCTACTCCCTCCTTTTCTTCGCCTACGCTGCCCTGGCCACCATCTGGGCCGCCGTCCTCCTCCGCAGGCGCCGCGCCACCTTCGGCATTCACTACTTCATGCTCGCTGTCGTCGTCCTCAAGGCCTTCAACCTCCTCTGCGAGGCCGAGGACAAGTCCTACATAGAGCGCACCGGCTCTGCTCACGGCTGGGACGTCCTCTTCTACATCTTCAGCTTTCTCAAGGGAATCTCCCTCTTCACCCTCATCGTCCTTATCGGCACCGGCTGGTCCTTCCTCAAGCCCTACCTCCAGGACCGCGAGAAAAAGGTGCTCATGGCCGTTATCCCCCTTCAGGTCGTCGCCAACATAGCCCAGGTCGCCATCGACGAATCGGGACCCTACGCCCGCGACTGGATCACCTGGAAGCAGGTCTTCCTACTCGTCGACGTCATCTGCTGCTGCGCCGTCCTCTTCCCCATCGTCTGGTCCATCAAGAACCTACGAGAGGCCGCCAGGACTGACGGCAAGGCGGCCGTCAACCTCATGAAGCTCACCCTGTTCCGCCAGTACTACGTCGTCGTCATCTGCTACATCTACTTCACCAGAGTGGTGGTCTACGCCCTCGTCACCATAACCTCCTACCGGTACCTGTGGACCAGCGTGCTGGCTGGGGAGCTTGCCACCCTCGCTTTCTATATCTTCACCGGCTACAGGTTCAGGCCCGAGGCGCACAACCCTTACCTTGCGATTGACGACGACGACGAGGAGGAGGCTGCCGCCGAGGCGCTCAGGCTGGATGACGAGTTCGAATTGTGACGCAGAAATTGCAGGGGTAATCATCCAATGCACTTCCTTGATGGGTTGTACCGTGTTCAGAACTGCTGGGGAAGCTCGAAGATGGAGGTTGGATCTACTCTTTGTCTTGTACTCGTTTTCCTTTTCCTTTGCTATCTTACAGTAATTGGATTTGCTAATTCGATGTCACAAAAAATCTGGTCTTCTTATTTAGTATCAGCATCGTCACAATAGCATGTAGCTACCCAATTATCCATGCTAGTAATGTTAATGTGTTCCAATAACTATCATGTTTCTCTGCCAGTAGAAATTTGTTTGTTTTCTTTTCTTGACACTCTGGAGGTGTTGGTGGCTGGATAACTTGGTCTTTCCTTGCTAGTAGAATGGCTTAGATGTTCTAATCTGACTACAGAAAGGAGAATCTGAGTGCTCTATTATGGTGTTAATATTATGTATTATATACTGAGTTGTGGAAGCATCTCATCTAAAATATATAATTGTTGAACTTCATGTGAAGGTACCAATTCCATGACATGAGCTTCTCTTTTTGTGATTATAACTGCCTCCTGAATTGGCATACAATTGTGCATCTTGTTAGATTGCCATCATCATCCCTTTTCTTTTCTTTTCTACACTAGAGGCCTCAAGAAATATAGAGAAGATGTATATGAATGAGATATTCAATAACAAGGAGAAGGAAAAGGATTGAATAGAGAAACTCTTGAGGAGCATTTGTTGATCTCAGATGTGTCATATCAATGGAAGGGGTGACTCATTATTTCGATGAATCATTTCTTCGAACAGACGAAGATTTTGTAAACACTTCCTCGAAATCTTACTTATCAGAGTTCATTGTGGAAGAATCTTCTGAGGAATTGGCCATGATATATCTGATCCATGCATAATATCATGAAAAATGGATACAAATTTGTGATTGCATCGACAATGAGCCTAAAAAAGTATCTAAAAGGATGAAATTTAGATATTTGCACCCTCTTAAAGCAAGGAATCGTGGCGGAACAAATTTCATTTTGAGAGATTTGAAAAAGCATCATCTCGTTGAAAGGTTTTATACATCTTCAACGTATTTCTTTAGAGATAGACTCCATTTTTTTCCTCTTTTTGGATGGTGAATAATTTGCAGAACATGGAGTGTGAATCAAACCCATGTTTGAATTGAAACTGAGATACCGATGCAAGTTCTTTCCTTTTGAATTAGATAGATTCATACCTGAAAGAGGCTGACAGTAATCTTAACTGAGTAGAATAATATGTGGTAGAATTATGATTTCTTATGCTATAGAACTTTCCTCATGTTTCAAGGTATTAATTGTCTATGCTTAGGTTGTGTTGCTATTGTAGTAGAATTACTATATAATGGCAATATAGCATCTTAGGTTGTGGAGAAGGGTGCATCTATCGAATAATTCTCTTCTCTTTTTTTTTTCTCAATCAAGTTCTGTCTTCTATTTCTTTCAACAACACCACCTCTTGTTTAGATTCAAGCAATGACATGGCCTTTGGGTATCCTCGTATTATGTTTCACAAAATTCTCCAAGGTTTCACAGAAATTCAATCAACCATCCTTGAGATCCAAGGAGGCTGAATGGAATTGGAGGTTTGCCTACCTTCTTATCTCTTTCGTAAAGGTCCATGCAGGAAGCAAACAAACATATGCACAGAGGAGACCTTCCTACTTGTATTCGGTTCTCGGTCTTAAGGAAATAATGAACTGTTCCTTTGGAAGAATCCGTTCTTGTGGAAATACGATTACCATTGTTGTGAACTGATGAAAGGAAATCTGCCTACAAGTATGAGGTTCTCAGTCTTAAGGAAACAATGAACTGTTCCTTTGGAAGAATCCTTTAATGTGGAAATATGATTAATTGTTGTGAACTAATGAAAGGAAATCTGCCTACTTGTATGAAGTTCTCAGTCCGAGGAAATAATAAACTTTCCTTTGGAGGATTCTTTTCTTGTGGAAATATGATAACCATTGTGGTGAACTGACGAAAGGAAATCTGCCTACTTGTATGAGGTTCTCAGTCTGAGGAAACAGTGGACTGTTCCTTTGGAAGATTCTTTTCTTGTGGAAGTACGACAACCATTGTGGTGAACTAATGAAAGGAAATCTGCCTACTCGTATGAGGTTCTCAATCTGAGGAAATAATGGACTGTTCCTTTGGAAGAATTCTTTCTTGTGGATTGTCATGAACTAATGAAAGGAAATCTGGAGCATAGTATCAACAATATTGGGTCCATAATGGTTTATGATTGCTTTACCTAGGTGATAAGATTTACTTCAGGTTCATACTCATTCATCTTACATAATAACAATTGTCCTAAGTTCAAATGACCTGGATTGCTTTCTGAACAGGATGAGTTGTAAGTAATAATGCAGAAAAGAATCCTCCAAAGAATGATTGGGAACACTCAAGTCACCTGAAGAGACAGCTTCAGTTGCAGGTTATGTATTTTAAATAATGAATGTGGACTTCGTCAATAGATATGAACTCTGTCGAGGGATAGAGAGACATTGATCTCGATGAATAGACAGCGTCTAGAAGCCGCCTAGTAACACCTCCATGGCAGAGCTATTGAGCTGGAGCGAGTCGAATCGGACCGAGATCAAAAGGCTCAATGGAGCTCGGTTGGGTTGGGCCGCGGGAAAGCCTCGAAAGCTACTGACGCTCGGCCTGGACAAGTTATGAACGAGGCCCGTTCGATGGGCTGCTGAGTCAACTCACCGGCAGTCATAACGCTCCAACGAGTCAGCCGCGTTCGTTGACTCAATGGCGGCATCACCAATGGCACACCTTCACGGCACGACGAAGAAACTGCGCCGGTGACAATTATATATGAGATATTATGCGCTAACTTTAGACATGTAGAAGTATATTTATTCTGAAGGCAGACGCAGAGGTCACCCGAGAACTCAATAGTTCGCGACGTAACTGGTTATATCTTATTAGCTTCTTTAACATGCACATCAATAACAGCACGGTCTTTAAAGCGGGACTACGTATAACATGCATGGATGCATGCACGGAAGGGAGCACGAGAACGTGCGTCCAAACGCTGACCTAACCGACAAAACCGAGTCGCTCGGGTTGGATGAGCCCAAAGCTTGTCCGGCGCCACATGGGAGCGCGTCTCAAGTCCGAGCCGGATAACGCCGAGACGACACTTTGTCCTATTATGTCCCCTCCCCGCGCTAAACCCACGAGGCAATGACGCACCCGATGACTAGATCCGGGGTCCCACCCGTCCCCCGCCCCTACGCGGGTACTTTTGGCATACGTCGCGGTGAGGTGATCACAGCCACCAAATAATAATTTGTGTACTTGTATTCACTTCGATACTCCGCGAGTATCTCAGTCAGGTGATACTGCTTTAGAGAGAGAGAGAGAGATGACGTTGGCGAAGTCCCGAGTCATTCGGGGATGTTGACACCGCACCTCCATCATGTATGTGGGTGTGGGTGTGTGTGTTAACTAATCAATGTAATATATGTGTATGTGCGTGTGTGTGATGGGGAACAATGGGGGGAGGAGTAAAGGAGATCTGTGTTGGTTATAAATTGTTTTGTGTCGGTCCCATCGATTTGTATTAGGTAGGTGATGGAAGGGTGGTGGGCCCCCCCCTGACAGCGCCGTCTCTCCCAACCCATCGCCTCTTCTCTCGCTCGTTGTTTTGCCCTTGTCGTCGTCGTCGCCGTCGATCTTGTTGAGGATGTACCGTTTCTGTTGCTGGTGCAGCGATAGTCTTTTACGCAGTGGTTACGGAGGTGACAGAGGAGGAGGAAGGGGAGGAGGAGGAGGAGGAGGAGGAGGAGTCAATCAAAGTGATACTAGTGATGGCGGTAGTTGTCTCGCCTGTGCCTTTTCCTAAAGATTTTTAAGGTCAGGTGTCATGGTTTTTGGATGTTGCCTTCTCCCCCGTTTCCCCATCTCTCTCTCTCTCTCTCTCTCTCTCTCTCTCTCTCTCTCTCTCTCTCTCTCTCTCTACCCACCCAACTCGGCCAACTATTCTCGCTTTAGGGACCACCGGGTTGATCGTTCTCCACATTTCTCTCACGGGGTGGGTGGCTCTTCTCTAGTCCAGTGGAACTACCCCACTAGAAGTAAGAAGGGGAAGGCCACTGAATGATACCACCTTCCTTTTCATTCGCCTCACTCGCGCAGTGCTAAATAAATAAGCTCGCTCCCCCGCTGCTTTCCCCCCCTCGCCCGCCCCTCCCTCCCACGCTCACTTGTTTGCTCTTCACTTTCCCTTCTCTCCTCTTCATCCGTTCCCTCTTCCTGCTACTTCCTGCTTGGTTTCACCTCGCCCATCGGCCGTGCTCAGCCATGAGCATCTCTGTGAATGGCCAGTCCTGCGTCCCCCCGGGCTTCCGCTTTCACCCCACCGAGGAGGAGCTGCTCAACTACTACCTGCGGAAGAAGGTCACCTCCGAGAAGATCGACCTGGACGTTATCCGCGACGTCGATCTCAACAAGCTCGAGCCCTGGGACATCCAAGGTGACATTTCGATCTCTTCTCCTTCGATTGATCGAGCGTCTCGTGTCATGGACTTACTTCCTGTTTCCATACCCTAATGCGCGTTGCAGAGAAGTGCAGGATCGGTTCGACTCCGCAGAACGACTGGTACTTCTTCAGCCACAAGGACAAGAAGTACCCGACGGGGACTCGAACCAACCGAGCCACGGCCGCTGGGTTCTGGAAAGCCACCGGCCGTGACAAGGTCATCTACTCCAGCGTCAAGCGTATCGGGATGAGGAAGACGCTCGTGTTCTACAAAGGTCGCGCCCCTCACGGCCAGAAGTCGGATTGGATCATGCACGAGTACCGGCTCGATGACCACTCCGACCTCCTCTCTCAATCCAACGTACGTACGTGTACACGCATGCACCGATAGTATTTGTCGGCAGATCTCTGCACTGCCTTTTTGTCGACACCGTATGCATATGCCAAACTAGTGGAATCCGTTAAAGATATGCTCTCTCGTACGTTATCTGTGATTTAGACCTCGAGCGCCATGGGAGAAGCGACAAACCAGGAAGACGGGTGGGTGGTCTGCCGGGTGTTCAAGAAGAAGAACCACCACAAGAGCATCGGCAGCCCGAACAACTCCTGCTCCGTCACCAGCGACGCCAAGACCCAGCTGCTGCACCACCCGGGCAGCGGCGACGACGCATTGGACCAAATCCTCCAGTACATGGGCAGATCGTGCAAGCGGGAAAGCCATGGGACGAGCATCAACGACGTGAACCCGAACAACGCCAACCGGCATCTCAGGCCGATCGAGACCGTCTTCGCTTGCGGCCTGCAGGAGATGTTCATGAAGCTGCCGGGTCTCCAGAGCCCGTCCGTCCCGTCGCTCCCCGATACCTTCCCTCTCGACCACTCTTGCGACAACCAAACAAGCTACGGCTCGTCGGCGGTGCTGCACGCGGGCGCGAGCTCGGGCAATGGCTACTGTGCGGATCCAGCCGTCGGGGACTGGGCTGCATTCGACCGTCTACTCGCCTCCCAACTCAACGGCCCATTCGAGGAGCCGAAGCCGCTGCCCTGCTGCGACGACCCCTGCTTCACCTTCCACTCGTCAGCCGGTTACCACCATGGCGGCGGCGGCGGCAGTGGCAGTGGCAGTGGCGACGGCGATCTCTGGAGCATGACGCGGACGACTTCGTCCCAGTCGGACCGCATCAGCCACGTGTCTATGTAAGAGAACGGCGGCATTGACTCCGCCGCTGACACAAACTAGCGAGCGACAGGGCATGCGGACGGACACTACACTGTAGCTCCCAGCACTCAGTATACATTAAATAAGGAGAGGAAACGTCCTATTGTATAATTTGGGATGCGGTGGTACGTAAGTGGCGATGTTGCCGTTAGGATAGAGAAGAGCAGAAGGTTTGGAGTGCGTAGTATGGGCGTGGGTGTGGTGTACGTGCTCCTCCTGAGTTAACCTTTTCAAAGAGAAGAACGCATGATGAGTCTGGATTCTAACCATCTCCTTGGTTGGTTGGATCCGTCGAGAGATATCGGTGGGCATCTTGTTTGTCGTGACAGCGAGAAAAAGGTGGGGAGGGAAAGGTGAGGGAGGGTTTGGTCCCTCCAACCCTTTCCTCTCCGGCGAATGGGAAGAAAAGGAGAGGTTGGCGTATGTTGGGTAGTCATGCACATGGGGCGAGCATAGCCTCCGTACCGTGGCTCCTTTCTTGTTTCCCGCAATAATTTCCAGAGAGCGAGAGCCAGAGAGAGAGAGAAAAGGAATCAGTGATGAGCTTTTGGAGTAGCTCGAAGAGCTACGGGGGAATAGCCAGCAGCCATGACAGAAACAGCTCGCCTATGTCTTCATGTGAGAGGAAGAGTGCAGAAACGAAAGCATCATGGGATCTAATGAGGAGGGAGAGGGCCCGAAGAGAGGACTGGCTGATTCCAAGCCATCACCATGCATGCAAACGAGTGGACCTGCGTGTGTTGTGCGCATCAGAGACACTCACGTACACCGAGTGCAGCACTCATCAACCACGGTAGATAGATTAGATGCAGCGCTATCGTTAGGCCGAAGTAGGAAGCGATAAGGTAGGGGAGAGAAAAAGAGAAGGAGAAACACTCACACAGCTTGTTCTTTATGTTTAACGATCGGTTCATCTCTTGCCGCTGTTCTTTATATTTCTAACGATCCTAAGAGCTTCCATCGAACCCGACTCTAATTTCAAACCCAAATAAAAGATTATGGAAGGTTAGATCTCGATGTGGATCAGATCTACTGTTAGATGCAAATCACCACACTATATATACATGCTTGCTAGGGTTCCGATGAATGATAATACTCGAGTCAGTTTGGAGCATAGCACCGGAAAGGAAATGCTGCACCAGTTACATCATCTTCCACATACAAGGACATGTCCACAGGGCTGTAAACGTGGCACCAATAGGCTTTGGAGGGTAAAGAAGACAAAAGAGAAATAATACATGCACATGAGAGAGGGAATTAGGGTTACTAAACCCCCGACATAGCTACGTAAAAAAGGACTGGGTAAATCCCTAGCCGTACGTGATGTAAGTTCGTATCGAGGCAGACCGAGTCACGTCGGATTCGAATTATATAGAAAAATAAACACTAATTCTTTGTTTGAATTCACGATCAAACAAAAGAGTTTGCCACGTCAGCCAAATATTACAATAATTTGTTTCTCGACTGTTCCACTTGACGAACAACAACTACACCCAATGAGATCGGAGTTTAGAATACCTAATATCAATCTTCTCATAACCACCTTAACGGTATTTTAATTCCTTTTATCGATCGTTTAGCTCTAGTTTGACTCCTCGAATGAGGTCGACCTGCTTCTACGTGTTGCTGAGCGATCGACTTTGGAGACAATAAACAGTAATATGGAGAGTAGTGGAGTCGATAATGACTTTTCGATGCTCAAATTAATAATAATAATAATAAACTTATGTAGGAGAGATACTTGAGGAAAAATATTTTAAATTAAAATTTGACATTGATATTTTGACGTGTCGCCACGTGATTGGCATAGAATCGAAAGCGCATGGTGTGGGTGGTGGTCCTCGTGAGCCGGCCTCGACCGTGCCCGTACACAGGAGGTTCGATGACCACCACCACCACCTGCAGCATGGGACACCTGCGGAGCAAGCTGCTCCGTCCTCCCCAAAAGGCAAGCCCTCCTCCTTGGGCACCGGCCGTCGTCCCCCACCTCGCCGTTACACGTATCAAGGCAGAGAGAGCATCCTTGTCCTCAACAAAGACACCTCCTCCTCCTCCTCATTCTTCAACTCATCCATCCATCCCAGTATCCGCATTGAGGGCGGACGTCACAGCCACTCATCCTCCCCGACCCTCCGCTTTGTGGCGATGTCCCGCTACCTACCAACTGCAACCGTTCCAGCGATACGTCTCCGTTACAGGTATTCCTTCTCATGGGTTGGGGCCATCGTGCTCATCCCGCACGTGTCAGGTGAAGCAAAGGGCGAAAGGATTTGTCGTCGCGGCAGCTATGGAGTCGGTACATGAGATGGTGCGTGCATCGTGTATCTCCCTCCCTCCCTCCTGTTCACTGTGCAGGCCGTCGAGTGATGCTTCTCTTTCAGCTAACGTGTTTCACGCACCCTCCTGTGCAGTGCAGTGCAGTGCAGTGCAGTGCAGTGCCGTGTGGTGCAGTGCAGTGCAGTGCAGTGCCCCCCTTTCCTTTTTGACTATTTGGCCCGGCGGTGGGAATCGGATCTCGAGGGATCCGCTGTTCCTCAGACGCCACTCCCCTTCCCCCTTCTTCCATCATTCGTCTGCTTTTCTTTGTCCTTTTCTGTATCAATCGTGTTCACCCTTCTCTCTCATCGCCGCTCCTCTCGTGATTTGGATTCTTCGTGACACTTCAAGATGCTGTCATTGAAGTTAACTCGGCTACCTAATTTGAACAGTAGGAGGTCTCACCGAAACGGGTTAGATGAGATGCACATTTGGGTTAGTAGAAGCTTGAAATTTTTTGCCAACTTTTGCAAGCAATCAGTGTGGTGATCGATATCAGCTATATCTGTTAAGGAAGTTTCTCCCACCAACTAAATGAAATGAAGGAAACATCAAACACACGTGTCAGAAGTTTCTTCCACCAACTTAATTATTATAAATGCAGGAGGAGCTTGATGCACAATAAAAGTGGAGGAGAGTTATCATGATGGTTCGTTAGTCTCGCTCGACATGAAGTTTCCGCCATTGCCTTTTTTGACATCCACGGTAAAGATCAGGTGAGCTGATGAGGATGAAGGAGGGAGAAGGAGGAGCAGGAGGAAGGACCCGCCCCTCCTCTCCCTAAAGCATCAGCTGATTCCATTCATTTCATGTCGATTGAATGCGGTGGGGCCATGAAAAGAATATTTCCGTTGGCCTGTTCTTGTCTTCCACCCTCCCTCTTCATTGCATCAATTCCTACTATGAGATCCGTGAATTCATGGAGGCATGCTTTCCGGTAGCCACAAGCTTTGAGTTCGGCATGCCATGTAGAGAGTGATGTCTCAGACAAATCTAGCATTTGATCCACTTGTCCTTGCAGCAACAAATATCAAATGATGCTTTATAAGTGTGTGGGTGAGTGCCCGCGCATCTTTAGTGTGCAGAAAGAAAGGCATGCAGGTTAGATGTAGCATCACTGGTGTCAAATATGTCATGGCAGTATGGTTTTGATTTCCATTACATGTCAATATCTGCTCTGTGATGCAAGTAAAGCTTGCATTATGAGAAGACACTTGCTCAACTTTATGTTCTACAGCAAATGGCCGGATGCTACAATGCTTGCAGACCAACAAAATGCTCGACAGAGTACGACAGCTCAATTTGGAGTGATGGATCGATAGTAGAAATTTTGATTGCGACTCCAAGAGTATCTGCTTGATGGATGATACAACAAAAATAAAACTCCAAATTTCTAATTCTAATTGTAGAACACCGAAATTTATATCATTTGAACAACACACGCCTTCCATGGTTTCTCAAAACACAAACAAAGGTCGTGTTCTGCTTTAGCTGGCAGCTCCGGGGTTGCCCGTCGGCAATTGGGCAACCAAGGTTTCGACAGGGATCTTAATGACATCCCACCTGATGCTGATATCAGATAGATACCGACTGATACTGTACATGGCACCCGCCACCACCAGGCCACCGCCGCCTGTTGCCAAGAACCCAAGAGGAGATGATGCAACCAGAGTCATTGCAGCTGCAAGGGACGATATTTGCCCACTTCGTGTGGCGCCACCGGAAGATGCATCCACCAGCAGCCCGGTTTTGCAATACATGGCAAAGTCCTCACAGTTGTTGTTGAACAAGCTATACGTGCCAAATCCATTGTTACCGAGGAGACATCGTGCTCGATGGAGGACGACTTCGGGGGGATCTGAAACTGCAAGCGTGCAGGTTCCCCCACGAGCTTGAGTGATGAAGAAAGCTGGAGTTACGGAGTAACGAAAGAGGCAGAGATTAAATCCAGCGAGAAAGCAGTCAAGGCATGATTTGGTTACTCCATTTTGTCTGCTCTGATCAACACCACACCTTTCACAAACAGGTGTGGAATTCCTCCATGGAGAGGAGGAGATGGAGAAAATTCGGTTTACAAAAGTTCCTGTTCCAATTTCCTGTCCTGCTGCCCCTGTGTAGTGAATCACCATGCCATCCCCCACATATATCCCTAGAAAATAAAAAAAGACCAGTGATCATATGTTATTATCATACTTACAACAAGACATGAGAATATATGACTAGTACAGAAAGTAACATACAAAATTCACAGAAATTGGGCATGTCAGATTATTTAGTTACAGAAAGCACTAAGCCTTCTTGGAAAAAGAGAGTCATATAAATAAAGGTTGAAAAAAAGCACTAAGCTATGCAAACTCTCTCACAGACCATCTATCACTCCACTTCCTCTATTTCCCCTGTTCAACAGTACTCTTGTAGTTGTTTGGTAGTTAAACTTAAAAGAAATGGTCTCTGACATCAACAAAAGTGTTTTGCCTTCCTCTTAACCAGAGAAAATACATCAGAGGCATCATCACTCATGTTTATTATTGAACAATGTGTTCGATATTTATGTGCCCTCTATGGGAGAATGTTTTCGAGGGCTTTCGAAAGGCTTGCAATGTAAATGTACGGCAGAGAAATATGAGTAGAGACTGCAAATAGTAAAAGGAACTTGACTGGAAGCAAATGCAAGGCATCACACAGGAATGAGTACATGAAAATAGAAATTTCTTGATAGAACCAAACCAGAATCCAAGAACTAACCATTTAGCTTGAACATCATGCAACTCAAGTTCAACATTCCCGCTGCCAAATTTGGATAAGCAAATCACCTTAACATTAGGTTTAAAAAAATAATGAATTTTAGAATGACTTGTGGTGCGTAATGGTTCAAAGAGGGACTAGCATGGTTAGTAATTTTTCACTACTGATGGATAGACTCTAGTTGGGCGATCAGTACATCTAAAACTAGATAAGCAAGACTATCATATGTAGGATAAATTTTTTTCTTTTGGAAACCAGTATGGTAAAAATTCCAAGGATGCTTCCATGAATTTTAAACAGGCAAAGTTCATGCTTGATGTCGCTGGTAGAAATACAGTATAACAGTATAACAGAGAGCAGGTCGATAAAATGATCTATCGGCATTAGCAATTGACCTTTTAATGATTTTGAGGCTTTGAAATCTAAACAAATTGCAAACATTTGAAGAGCTTAAATAGAAGGCTCCCAAGATGGGATAATGGTAAAGGAGATGCAATCCAAGAGTGCAAGGTGAGGCGATTGATAAAGTTCTAGAACCTGGCATGCCCACTCACACTATACCAAGAAAGACCGAGGATGAAGAAAGAAGAGGAGCAGACCATGATGGGCGTAGATGCAGGCGGATCTCCATGAATAGATGTGATCGCCGGGAACCAGCTGCTCCCTCTCGATCCTGTTGGAGAAAACCCCTGTGCTGGCTCCTCCTCTATCTCCCCTTGAAGCGAGGCTAGGTTCCATATGTCACGGCCCGATATGCTTTTAACTCTGTACATGCATAACTCACCACTTCAAAATCCACAATTATAGAAGTAAATATTTTCTTAAATATAATATTTTTTTGTAGTTACAATGATAAATTTATCAATTGAGAAACCTAAAACTTTTTGGGAATGCTACTTAAAAATAAAAAAGTCTATTCGACTCAAGTCTCAAGTCTAATACAAGTCAATAGATTGCTCTTAAAATAAATATAAAATAAAAATATATCAGCAATCCATACTGAGTAGAAAACTCCAAAGGCTTCAATAATCACAAAACATTTTCAATCATTATATACTAACACTTTCATATGAAATGAAAGTAAATCATTTCTTCAAAAAATCCATATATCAAATAAGAACTTATAAATCATTATTAATAACAATAATTCTTATGCAATAAACAAAATCATACATCAATCTCATACAAATATATTTCAATTGTCAAATGACATCCACATATAACATATGCATACATCGGACAACCGACGGTGCACTCTACCAAGATGTATCACTGCATGGGTAGTTTTCATATTCTCCCAAAAATGGATGGAGAGAACTCATATTGCAATACCAACAACAAATGAAGTGATGTCCCTAACCTAACTCCAAGTAATACATGTTCTTTCCCACAACGGATGGAGGATCGTCTAGCCATCATCTCTAACGGCCCACTAATGCTGAAGGAGATTACCATACCAATACTAACATGCTTGCTCTTAGTAAGAAAACAAAGTCCTCATCATTAGTTATCATAACCGTTCATTTTTATTTATTTCGTTCATGCATGCAATCAAATAAACAATATAAAATATCATGATAGACTATGCTTAGTATATGACCTGAGAGACTTAGTCTATTAAAGGCTTCACACTAGGATGGACTTGTAGTTCTTTTCGTGCAGTACTCCTAACATTGATAACTCACCATAGCCATTTTTACCTCATGATAGCAATCAGACATAAACTATGTATCATATCAATAATGTTAGTGTCAAATAACATTTAAACTTAAAAACCATTGATTATTTTCAAATTTCTTTATATAACTTTAATTAAGGCTTCTAAATTTGTTAAATCATAAAATCATGAGATGTCAATCACTCTACAATCCATAATTGGCCTAAATTATAAAATAATTGATTTAAACTGACTAAGTTTTTAGCTAAGACCCAACTGAACCAGCATCAAATTAACGCAACATTGGTCTACAATCACCCTAGACCAACTCAGTTAGACTTCAGTGCACACAATTTGGGCTAAGCGGACTTGAAAAGGACAAGATAGGTTCAGAATCACCCTGAATTGGTCAATCTGGCTAGGTTAGGTCAAGATACAAGGATCAGACCAAGGCCACGAGCTGCCCTACACATGGGGCATAAGCGTTGTGGCCCCTATGGGCCGCTAGCATGGCCCAGAATGGGCTGAAAACATGAGCTGCACGTGCCACAAACTGAAGCGGACAGCAATAGGCTGGGTGCAAATCTGGGCTGCCCTTGGGCCGTGCCAACACATACCAAGTCAAAACAACCGAGCCACACGAGGCCTCACTGAGCAAGGCCACTACAAAACGAGGCGAAGGCTTGGGTCCAAGCCATGCAAACCTAGGGTCATGCCAATCACAAGCCAACCCCCACACTACAAGCCATTAGCCTGCTGTCTCAGCACCCTGGTTTAGATCAGATGGGGCCTGAATTTACCCGGGATAGGTTGACCATGGGCTGCATGGACTGGCTCGGGTTGGGTTAGCCTGGCCCAACCATGGACTTCTCAATCTCAATTAGGAATTCATTATCTTCTCTTTGTCAAACATAAATTAAACTGTCAATTAATTGATAAATGAAATAAGAAAATCTAATTTAAACATAAAATATAATGAAGTTAACAACAACAAGCAAATTAATTTAATCAAATAAATTAACATGTCACGATGATTAACTTAATTTAAAGAATCATGCAATACTTTCATGAAATTCATTAATTTTTTTATTTATTAACCATGATTCAATATTTAAACTAATTAAAACAAAAACATAAAAAATGTAAGATTAATTCAATATCTGAGAATTATTGATCATAGTTCAAAATTTTATAATAATAAAGTTAACAAATTTCATGCATCCATATTTTTTAAAAATATTAACAAAACAATTCAAGAAAAGGTAGAGAATAAAACTTACTTCAATATAGAGTTCCCGCAACTTTTTACAGTATTGATGAATATTAGAGAGACTTGACCAATATTATATTCGAGGAGTTCTCTTAAAAAAGAAAGACAATTTATCTCAAATTTATTAATTAATTAGATTCCTAACTAATACATTATATATTAATTAATTACATTCCTAGCCAGCACGTTATATTTCAGAAGAGGGAGGGTTTCCCTCAAAGAAAGAAAGATATTTTGTTTCGAACAAATTAATTAAATTACTAACTTAGTTTAGATAACTAAGGAAGCAGATTTCAATTATTAACCAAGGAAACAAATCAAAGTGAAATAAGGTAAATCCCTGATTAAAAATTCCCAATTCAGGAAATGGGAGAAAATATCCATTGATTACAACAAAAGAGCAAGTGCGAAGAGACAAGAAAGGGACAACAACACGCATTTTTTCTTCGCTTAAATGTGAAGCAGGCCTTTTTTGCTTCGCTTAAATGTGAAGGAAGCCATCTCTCCCTCTTTCCTAGCCTCCCTCTTATTTGATTTGCTTCATAGGATCTTGCCAGTCGTGGCTGATGCAATCCCACCATACACGATGGAGATCTCACCATTCCCTATGAAACCGCAATATAATTGGAACTTGATAATGTGATTTTTCTATATGTTTTGAGATATATGACCCTTTAACTTATATTTTATTAAGTTTTGGCTTAATATCTTTATTTGTTCTAAAGATCTCATTGCAGAGATGATCTCATTATTGCCAATAAATTTTTTTTCGAATCTTAATGACCTTGATAATGAGACTTCAGGTGAGATGTCAAAACTATGTGAAAGTCAACTAGTTAAATAGCTCACAGTCAGAAAATCACAGCCACAAATTAGACTTGAATAACTCATTTTATTGTAATGAAAACGACGAAAGTAGTGATGTTCAACAATAATGTTATTGTTGTTTTGGTAGACTTGAATAACTCATCTACCCCTCCACTTCCCATGTTCAACAGTAATGTTATTGTTGTTTAGTAGTTCAACACAAGACAAATGATTCATGACAATCAAAATTTCTTGGACTTCCTTCTAACCAGCAAAAATACAACAGAGGTATCATCATCCATGTTTATTCTTAAACAATGTGTTCCATTTTGTGTGTGCTCTCTACAGGAGGACGTGTCGGAGGACTTCTTTAACAAAGAAAAAGACTTGGAAAGTTTTGCAATGCAAATGTAAGAATTAAAACAACATTACATACTGCGGATAATAATAGGAAGACTAGAAGCAAATGCAAGACATCACACAGAGAAGGAATGAGTACATCAACTTGAATGGGAAGTCCCCAAAATAGAAATATCTTGAGAGTACGAAACCAAAATCCAACATGCAACTCAAGTTCAATATCCCCAGTGACAAAATTGGATGAGCAAATCACCTTAACATCAGATTTAAGAAATCATGGATACAAAAACGACTTGTGGTGCATAATGGAGCAAATAGCACTAGTGTGGTCACTAATTCCTCACTCCTGGTCGATCGACTCTAGTTGGACAATCAGTAAATTTAAAACCACTATAACAAGAATTCCAAGTATGCTTCCACGATTGATGTGTCTCGTAGAAAAGACAGTACAGGAAACAGATAGCAAATCTACAAAACGATCCACATGCGAAGACGTGTTACATCGGTGATTGACCTATAACGACGTTAGGGCCTTGAAAGCTGAACGAATTGCACACATTTAAGGAGCGATTGATAGAATGGCTACCAAAATTAGGATATTGCTAAAAAAAGCGCGATTCAAGAGGGCTAGGCTCTGAGATCAGCGAAACTATCGAACCGAGAATGAAGAAAAAAGGAGGAACGGACCGTGATTCAGGTAGATGTAGCCGGATCTCCAAGAACATATATGATCGACGGGCACAGGCCGCTCCCTATCGATCTTGTTCGAGAAACCCCCATGACGGCTGCTTCCCTTTCTCCCCCTGCGGCGAGGCTAAGCTTACAGAAGAACGGGTGGGGGAGAGAGGAGGCGAGGGAGCGCAAGAGGGCGCTTTCCTTTGCTTCGCGTAAACGCGAAGGAAGCTATCTCTCGTCTTCCCTCGCCTCCATCGGGTCGCTTTGCCTCGTACGGTATCCGCCATGGAGATGTCGCGGTTCCAAATGGAACCATCGGAGTATTCCTGACCGGCCACGGAAATCGATAACATGAAGTCATCAGATAGATGGACGGTGAGTGATGTGACACGTAGGGATCAATCAGAGCGCGTCGATGGTTTCGAGATTTATATATTTTTTTTTTCTGAAAATGTATACATATCTATAAAAATAAAATAGCATTTAAAATCATAAAACTATACATTATTATATTAATTCACAATATTAAGATCAAGATATGTGTCTCAATTACTTTTCATTGATTCACGATTAATATTTGTTGCCTTTTAATTTTAATTTTATCCATGGGATTATTATTTTTTTGCTTGTTCACGCCATTAATCGTGCCATTTATTGAGACCGCTCATTTTTCATATTGTTAGCCTCTCATTTAAATTCAATATCTTTCACAATCAAAGTGATTTCAGTGATACGGGTTGGAAATGTCGAATGATTGGAGCTCAATAAATGACATTATTTTTCGTACCATGTAACTGTCTTTGGATTACCAAATAATGAGCAAATGCATCATTATCTTTAGGCCATTTCATTAATGCGTTGTTATGGCCACTGCACTAATCTCAGCATCATAATTCGCAATAAGTAACAGTATTTATCTATTACTATTATTATTCTTATTATTACCGTTAGAGAATCGTTAGTTGTCGCTTCTATATGCTTCATTGCAAAAGAGTGAAGCGATAATTAACGCAATACATATTTTAATATATATATATATATAAATTCAAATACCGATGGCGAAGGATCTGACGTGCATCGTTTGACCTTTTAAGGTGTGAAGTGGCACGTTTCGTGCGTTTGACCCACGAGGGTTACTTGTTGGCCATGGCTTTGACTTTTGTATTAGGTGCATCGGCTGGCCGACCTCCTTTTCCTCGGCTCTGATCTCTCCGTCACCTCCCACATGAAGTAATCCCATCAGACATTTCTTGATGATCGTGATGGACTGTGATGCGTCCTCACACCGTTACTGATATGAATCGGTTCCTGAATGTTAAGTGTACAACAGTTACGTAGATGTGGGGAGTGAAGATGGTAAGCAAATCGAATTGAGAAGTCTACTTTAGCAGGAAAAAGAAAAAGAAATCGTCGCTTAAAGGAAAGGATAAAAAGATTTATGTCGGGTCGAATACTTTATCAACCTATGCACACCTTCGGCGCCGCCCACATCACCTTTGATCGGACGGCTGCGGTATTAGGATGGGGCGAATGGACGGTTGATCGATGTGGAGTTTCTTGGATGCGAAGGATGGCTCTTTTCTTTAAACCGATGGTTGACCGAGATTAGCACAGGAGATGATCGAATCACGCCCGTCCATCTGAAGGTTAAGAACCGTACACCGTACGATTCTGCGGCTTCGTCGAGACATGGCCACGCGAAGAACGAGGACGAGGCAGGAGAATAGTAAAAGGGGGGAGGAATGGGTGGCGATAAGAGAGAGGGAAAGGTCACAGGAGATCCGCGGAGGCTGTGACGGACGAGCCGCCGGACCAGAATACCATCTAACTCTTCGTCCACTCGCGCTGATCATAATAAAGGCGAGTTAATAGGGACGAGGTGGAAACAAAGAAAGGGTGAAAGGCTGAGAACGAGAGAGAGAGAGAGCGAGAGAAGGAAATCTTCCACCTTTTTCCCGTATTATTCTCGATCGCCTTCCCTCTCGCTTCATTTGAAACTGCCCTTCTATTCTTGATCCACTGTTCCTCTCCATATATTTCCTGCTCGTGTTTGTATAGATTCACGCCATCCTATATTTCAGGGTGAGATGCATGGTTTGGTCCACTGATCGATCCGTATTCGGTAGGGGAAGGGGAATGGCGTTAACAGCAGAGGCGACGGCGGCGGCAAAAGCGGGGTATGTGACGAGAAGAGGGGAGAAGGGCGGCGGGGCGGCGCCGTTGTTCCGAGCGGACTACATGTTTTGGTGGGAGCAGCAGGGGGAGTTCATGGAGCGCCGGCAGCTCTTCCTTCGGAGCTACCACTTCTCCCGTAGGCAGGGCCCTCGTGAGCGGGTGCGCCGCACCCTGCTCCGCGTCCGCCGCCTCGTCTGGGCCCGCCTCCGCGCCGCCCGCCGTCTGCCTCGCCTCCTCTGGGCCAAGCTCCGCGCCGTCTTGTCCGGCGGCGGAGTCGGCCGCAGGAGGCGGCGCTCCCACCGCCTCGGCTCCGTCCAGTTCCAGCGGCTGCGACACCGACGCAGCGCCAGCAACAGCAGTAGCGGCTCCTCCGCCGAGTGGTCCAGCTGGTGACCGCATGGATCACACACGGAGGAAGCAGTAACGTCAGCAATCAGGAAGCGGAAGCAGAGGCTGCCGCTGCTTCGTTGTCATCTACTGTTCTTTGACTTCACCTACTACGTATGCTTTACCTGCTTTCCATATCGTCTCATGTGAACAAACATTACAGTCATGTCCTTCTCTGCACCGGAGTGCGAAATATTGCCGGGCTGCTAACGTCGTTGGTACCGAGGAGCTTCCACCACCAGCTTCTTCTTCCTATCGCATCAAAAGTCGCGCCAACCCAACAAATGGAAGCATCTTGAATCGTTTCAAAGGATGTAAATCTAATCCAACGATTTCCTCTTGGTCTTCGGTCACATTACTGAGTTATTTATTCGCGCTATTTACTTGACCAACCCGATAATCCTCCACCAAATTCTACCTCGAGCTCAGGCATGAGAAAACAGGATGTGGACCCCTGAGCTCAGGCGTGGTTTATTGCTCTTTAGTGCCGTTGGTTGGCGAGTGTGTTTGGTTTCGAGCGTCGGTACGGACGTCGTACCGTCTGCTTTCTTTTTCGTGTTAGATGTTGTCGATTGGGTTCGATGAATTGGGCCTTGAACTTGGGCTCGATCAAACCTCCCAAGGCACCTTACCTGGACGACTGTGGACCCTAAGCGTATCATGACTCATTAAACAAATCCAGCATTAGAATCTTGTATTAACTAAATACAAAGTACAAACAATGTGTGACGTGCACATTCGTGCAATATAAAATTCAAATTAATAGGAAGTGGAATAAGAACAAAAGAATTCGACTGGATGAAACAAGAAGACGATCTCTCTTCGATATAGACCACTGATTGCCACTGGGCAGTGCAGGTCTCAGTTTCTTCTCGGTCTCGCTGCCACCGTTGAGGTTGGAGATGCGGTGGGACTGATTCGAGATGATCTGCCCCAGAGAAGGGCTCTCGGAGAAGATGACTTCGTAGCCATCTCTTAGCCCCTCCATTTCCTGCACGCCCAACAACAGGTTCCAGAAGATCCCGCCTCGGCAGGCGCCTCCGCCGCGGGCCGACGCGTAGATCGCGTCGTACACGGTGGTGTACAAGGCGGCCTTAACGTCCCCCGTGCGGTTCGACAGCCTCGAGGACTTGCCGAACTCCGATATCAGCAGCGGCTTTCGCAGAACCGCGTCGGCGTCCTCGACGTGCGACTGAATCCAAGACTGGAGGAAAGCCAACTGCGTCTGCTCGGTTGATCCCGGCATCCTGCAGCAGTCCACAAACCTTCATGCGTGCAGCAAAGCCAACTACGTCGACAGATCGGTGAGAGAAGACTGTGGCTTACCACATATCAGGGTAGGCGTGGATGGTGGCAAAGTCAACTCCTTGGACTTGATTATTGCTTATGAAGTCGGTACCCATTTCGTAACCAAGGTTGATCTTTTTCCTCTCGGGAATCGTCTCCCCGTAGAACCCTTCGAGCCCGACTTCCAGCAAATGGTTGCTGTCGATGGACTTCACATGAGCAGCCATCTCCTCGATCCAAGCCTGTACATATTAATCAAGCCAGACTATTTTGGAGAACATAAGAAAAAGGACAGATTAGATTCATGGTTTTATTTACCTGCAATGTCCGGCCAGAGAGATCGGTTTCGCAGCGCGGCTCGTTGACGAGTTCCCATGCAAAAATGGCGGCCTCGTCCTTATAGGCTACTCCGGTTATGGTGTTAACTCTGGTTAGTATTGCCTGATCCATTCAAGTGAGTAAGGCCGAGGCCTCCATGGGGAGAGAAGAGACGAATGTAGAGAGAAGGCAAAAGGGTTACCCTGACATGATTCTTGTAGTAACTCTTGACGACTTCGTCTCTGTAGAAGTCATCGTCAGAGCTGAGGTGACCCCCCTCGTCTCTCGCCCACTGGATATACTGCGTTCTACCCCCAAAGCTCTCAAAGTTGTTGACCAAACTCAGTACCAGATAGATCCCATACTTCTTGGCCTCCGAAATCACGAAATCCAAACCCTGCAACGATGTGAGCGATCCATGTAGATCACATTGTTATAGAACAGGATGCACATATACACACACAGGTTGCTTCTTCGGATCTTCACAGGTAGGAGTGCCTGATGCATCCATCCCTTCAAGCGTGCATAGGATACCTGGAACATGTCCTCGTCGTAGACGCCGGGAGAACGCTGCAGGGGTTTGTATCCACCGTCCCGGAAAGCCCAAGTCCTGGCCAGTGTGAGCCCATGGGTAGAAGCCTCCTGGAACGCAGAAGAAACCATGCTCCGTCCCTCCTCCGGGAACGACGCCACGTACATCAACCAGTAAGCATTGAATCCGTTCAAGCTGAACGGGCGGCGGTTCACGAGGAAATGAGTCATGTTGGTCCGCACGAAACCTGTGTCACCGTGAGCTCTGCTATCTCGAGAAGCCAAAAGTGTCCACAGAAGCAAGCCGTGGACGAGGACTTCCGTATGCATCTGGGAGACCTACGATTTCTGTTGAAGCACCGTGAGTTGCTGTGAGTTCTTATTTGTGTGTGGCGTGTGTTTGGACTTTCTGAAGGACCCGAGAAATCCTTCTGCTCAAGAAACGAATCCAAGAGCTAAAAGCTATCCTATTATGGTCTCGGTTTCTATTACAAACAACAAAGACTATAAATCTGACAGACAGACAGACAGACAGATAGACACAGAAAGAGAGAGAGAGAGAGAGAGATGCTGCAATCACGGGGAAACCAGATCTAGCTTTAGTGTGTGTTGCGTCATTGAAATCAATGGCGCACCATTCTGATTTATAGAAGGACCCGATGAGCTGCAGTTAATGGCGGGGAGGGCAGGGAAAGTGGAGATGGAACGGTAGGTGACAAAAGGCGAACAAGAAGAAGGAAGTGCTGGTACGGCTCGCCCAACTTAATTGGATGCTTCACAACTAAGACAGGTGTTAAGAAGGCAACGGGGGCTTTGCTTCGTCCGCTGGCTTGCAGCTCTGCGTTTCCAGGAATCGTCAGCGGCGCGTCGCACCACAATTTCGTGGTCGGTCCCGGTGACATACGACTAACTGACTCGGCCATCACGCGGAGTACATGAAGCCGCGGAGAAGCCATGCATGCAGTGCCGCGCCACAAGTAGCTGCATGCCCTTCTTGATACGCCTTGCCACGTGGACCTAAGGGGCTGGTCCACGCAGCTGGTGAGGATGTGATCCCACATGAATTATAATATCATATGGGGGCGTCGGCATCAGTTGCCGTCGCCGTCGGCGTCGCTTTCTCTTTCCCGACCTTCTCTTCTCTGCCACCCACTCAAAAAAAGAAACAAGACTGTTAGCTTCGCCACGGCATCATTTACTTAGCCGTTCTTCTTTCTCCTCCTTCACTTTTATCCACTCGGTTTCATTCCCGGCAAGTCCGCCGGAGTTTCCAGTCGTTCTCAGGCCGACAACCTAAATTCACACCATCTTGTATGATTTCCTTAGACTTAGATTTGTTTACTTACCTTATAAGTGATAGGATTGATAACTACTTTTAAAATATTTAATTATATTTGAATTAATTGATTAAAAAAATAATTAAATTAAAACTTCTTAGTGAATTAAGATTTATTTCTATAAATATATATATTTCGTCTCAAGATATTAATGAGAAAAAAAAATCAATATATTTTAATTGCTTCTAAGGATAATCTTTGATATTTCCAAAGAAAATTTAAAAAAATATTTAAATTTATATGAGAGATGAAAAAGAAAAGTTTTGATTTCATATATTAAATAATTTATTTTTTTATTATTAATCTATAATTTTTTTTCTAATGATTCTCTCCCTCTGTAACAATTCTTTCTAGAATTGATTTAGAACTTTTCTTTAGATAAGATTAGGATTAAAATTCAAAATCTTCATTTTGAGTTGTTGCCGTGTACACAACTCCTAATTGGAGGCCTATTTAAAGCACCTATTCTATAAGCCTTTTATAGAAAAGTAATAGAATTCTCTGTTGTCTCTCTCTTCTTTCTTACGAAATTGGTCATTACTAACTCGGGCCAAAAACACATATTTCCTTCTTTACTGCACATAATGGAAGTGGAAGTTGCCGCAGCTCTATGCTAAGAGAACGCAATTCCGAATCGGACTTTTTGGGTGCACGACATCGAATTGAGTTTGACCACTGACAATTACGATGAGTTCGGGTTTTACTTACCAAAACCTGATCGGGGGTGGAGACAAAAGGAATAGTACACGGATTGCCACGCCTCCGTCGACGTCGACCGTGGCAACATCTCTGGCGAATGAATCCCCGCTATCGCCTCCTGCGTCGACGGCGATCCAGGAGCCAGCACACTGAAGGTACGAGGGCGCCGAGGATCGTGCACATTAGTTCCGCTGGATCTCCCGACGACGGCCCGTCAGTAGGTCACGCGATTTAGGGTTCGGTGGGGGTGGGGGGGCAAAGAGCCACCAAGAAGACGACCCTATACATCCGCCTGCGTGCCTCGCGAGGGCCGCGGGACGAGAGCGCCAGATGTTCGTCTGGAGCAGACAATTGGATCTGCGTATTGAAAACATGGAATGGTCCGGAGGCAACACCTATTGCGATACTCCTCCCTCGACTTGGCCGCCTTCAGCCGGCCCTTTGCCTTGGACATCTACTTCTCCTTTTGGCCCTTTCCACTCGAAATCTCCGTCACATTTGGGCCCTTCCCCTTGCGAGACTCCTCCCTCGACTGTACCGACCTCATGAGCGAGCTTATTAAGGTAAGCACATGGCACAAGTACATGAAGGCCGGATGAGAGAGAGAGAGTTCATGGGCCGTGCCGTGCCCCTCCTCTCGAATTCCAAGGTATGCTTTCTCGAATCCTCTCGAATCTGGAACGCACATTAATGGCGGACCGTGGTTCGTCGGAAAAGTGAATTTAATCTTGCTTTCGTGTGACGCGGGTAACCTCGGGCCAACATAGGTTTAATTTTCAGACTTTCTTATAAAGTATTTGCATCTTAATATTCTTGTTCAAATGGCTCTCATGTTAAAGTAAACTGAAGGAAGTGGATGAGATAAAATTTTATTTAATTAGATAAGATATATTTTAAATTTAATTAAAATTTGATTATGATCATCGAAAAAGAAATTTATTTATGATAGGATTTCTGAAAAGATAAGTGACTCTTTTTTTTTTGCCTATATCTTTTGTTATCGTTTATAAATAGATAAGATCTCCTAAAAACTATAATGATATGAGATGTATTTATTATCAACCGTCTTATCTCTATTTCATCGTTTATAATCATTTTATTAAATATACGAATAGAGAATAATACGAGTTTTATTGTCCTTATAGGTCGACATCGCTATAGCTTTCGGATCCGACAATAATGTACTTGTGAATCAAACAAAAAAATTTTGAATAGTATCGAAAGATATGTTATTTTGATTCTATTAGTAAATTCTATCTCATAGTAGCATGATTGTAGTTTTTATGCATACAATTATTTTTAGAGTCTATTTCAAAATCAAATATCATATATCATAAAAGCATTAAATATGTTTTGTATTAGATCTATTCTTCCCATTTGTGGTGATCAAATCTATTTATTTTATCCTAATATGCTTTGTATTATATCTATTCTGTGTTTTTTCCATTTGTCTAGGCGATCAAATCTATTTATTTTATCTTGCTCACCTTGGTCATCTATTTGCAAGTGATGAAGGTGTTTTCCACCCACATGAGAGGAATTGTAGATGGAAGCATGTTGCTCGATTTTGATCGACTGGATATAGTGAATAGCTTGTTGTTGAATACAATATTATGAAGGGTGACAACCTACTATGATCAGTAATAAATGTCAGTATGCCATTATTAGTTTTGTTCACTTGTGGGTCAAGGGGTCGTAGTAGGATAGGATTGTTGCGACAAAGTGTGGTGATAGGAAGGAATAAAAGCGATCATCAATAACGGGCTACGTTGACGTGGGTCGAAGCTGGGTTGACATAGTTACTATTGGTCACATGGCTTGCAAAGGTAGGCACTAAGCGAAAGGCGATGATGTATGATGGTTACCAATCTTGCCACAAGCAGCAATACCATTGTCATTGATCAACAGTTGCACGTTAGATGCGTGGCAATTCACAGAGGTTGCGATGACATTGTTGGCCATGGTCGGCATTGATGGGTCGTCAATTGGCCATAGAGGTAGTTCAAGGCAATTGTGCATAGATAGCGAACGACTGCGTGCAATAAAGTCAATGCAAGTGGTGGCAACACGTTGTTAGTCGACCGCGTGAGAACAGTTGTGCACACCTCGACGATCGTAGGGCTCGTCGGTTGGTCACATTCCTCAACAATCATAGGAGGCACATAGGCGACGGACAACCACACACTACACTAGCAGCATGCGTTGTGTAAGCTACGATGGTTGAGAAAAAGAAAAAAAAATTATGGGTTTTCAATTGTTAAAAGATTGTCTTTTTGAACCCATTTACTTCTTGTCAATATCCTTTTGATAGTTCTAACTTTCAAAAATTATATATTTTTTACTTATGTCATGAACTATAGAATAAAATAATTTGATCAACTTTAATCAAATAATTTTAATCGAACTTATTTATGATTGTATTTTGACTACTCAACTACATTTAGATTCAATCAATTTTATTTTTGACCGAATTTGGAAAAAGTTAAATCTTGATTAATTTTTTTATTTTACTTAGTTTTAATTTTGACTAACCTAATTGGGTTGATGTAGAATTTACTAGTTTAATTTAGAGTTCCATACAAAATTTTAAAATATTATAAATTATAATTTTCTCATATGAAATATTATATATTTTTTTTATTATTTATGATATTTAAATTTTAATTATTATTTTGGATATTTATTTAGTTATTCACATGTATATGTTTAAAATTATGAAATAATTTTTTTGCTTAAAGATATTATTTATGTTTTATCATGATTATATTCATCGCATAAGTTTTTTTTATGTTGATTAATAATTAATATTTATTTATAATTATTTAGTTATTTTTATATAAATCAAATTAAAAATATTTAGTAAATATTATTTATAATTTATATCTCTAAGTTTTATTTAACTTGTATATACCAAAATAGTGTCAAATGATAGGCTTATGTGATATGAATTATAATAAATATTTATTTTAAATTATACTTTAAATTATTATATTAGTCTTACAGTCATCCTACACTAATAATTTATGAAATTATATTAAAGAATTGATCCTAAATTATATTAATAAAAAATAATATTTATAATGACACACATAATTATGGGATTTAGATAAACCCATGATATGATGATACTATTTTGAATATCATGATAATTTTAAATTGTATATTATTCCACAAGGATAGTATTACTTATCCATAAATAATTTTTTAGCGAACACCATATATATCAATATTTTACCTAGAGGTGAAATATGAATAATATCAATAGTTCATCATATTTTAAAATTTTAAAATATTAAATTTATTTTAAATTTTACTATGATACTTCCTTCCCTGCACTCTCATTCTTCTCGTGTCCTTATACTCTGGTTCAAATTATTCTGAATGGTTAGAATATGTATAGTTCACACTCTGTGTATGAAACACATTCTAAAATCAATAAATATTTTTTAAATGATATCAAAATGTACATTTTTTTTTTATCTTGATATATTTTTATTTGATTTCAATTTTTTACATAATTATAATATTATTATATTTTTTATATTTACAATTGGTATTAGAACCTAATACTTTGAAGTCAAATACCTTATATCGTTAAAAGGTGATATTAGATATATTTTTAAATTAATTTTTATGCTTATTAGATCTATTTTATATTAAATTTACTTATAATTTGGGAAATGTTATATTTAATCTTGTTTTTATGATTCTTGAATGATTCATTTGTGTTTATCGATATATTTTTCTATCTAATTTGTCTTATTATATGTTTACGGGTGATTCAAAATTCTTTGCTTTTTGCAAGTAGAGCCGAGGATGAGATGCTACCCTTATTTGACTAGTGGGCTATCTATACTAGATGGGCAACTACTGTGTGCAGCAATCTTGACAGTGTAAGTGCTAC